CCCCCCCCCCCCTTAAATAGATTGGAAAACAAAGGTTGACTGGTGGGAGTAACAAAGGCTAATGAGCCCTGGTGGCATAGTGGTTATGTGCTCTGCTGCGATCTGCAAGGTCAGTAGTTCAATACTACCAGCTGCTCCTTGGGAGGGCTTTCTACTCCCATAAAGAATCACCACCTCAGACACCCGCAAGGACAGTTCTACCCTGCCCTGTAGGGTCAGTGTCGGTGGACTTGGCATTGAGTTGTTGAACAAAGGCTATCGGAGAAGATCCTCATTGAATAATTCACTGCTCCCTCAAGGTGATTCCCCAGACAAATGCTGGCTCAACGGGGTGGCGGGGATTTCCTCTCTGATGGAGTGTCCTGTTCGTGTCCTTTGCCCATTTTCTAATTAGTTAACTTGTCTTCTTATTGTGGAGCGGCTAAAGATTTCTGTGTACTTTCAAGATCGATCCTTGTCAAATACGGTGTTGCCAAAGATTGTTTTTCCCAGCTCCTAGGTTCCCTTTTGACTCCCCTGGTGAAGTCCTCTGATGAACAGAAGTATTTCGTTTCCAGGAGGTTCCATTTCTTCTGGTTCATCTTGTGTTGTGAGCACACCTGGAGCCGGGCTTCTAGTCCAGGTGTGCTGAAAGTTAGAACCCTGGTTTGTCCCTGTGCTGCCTTCCAGGGACTTTGATCGTAGCGTCTAGGTGTCTGATCCACTTTGACTTCATTCGTTTTTGTGTATGGTGTCAGGCAGGTATGCACCCTGACTTATTTTTCTAGTTCTGTCAGCACCGTTTATTAAAGAGGCTGCTGCTTCTCCATCGAATGGGCTAGTTCAACCCTCTGGAAAAGACATATTGCCCGTGGGTGGGTGGATTTACCTCTCAGGTCTCTGCCATCTGTAGTCTAGACAAGTTTCTCGGTGTTTCTGGAGCACACTGGAGTTGGAGGAATACTGATTTGTGGGATCTGGAATATTTGGAGTTCATACTACCAGGATGATGGAACAGTCTGATCCCAGCCTTTTGATGGCTTTAGCCACAGCCAGGGAGGCACTGTGGGAAGAGGCCAGCCCTTGGTCTGCCCTGTCTCTCTGCCCTTCTCCCCTTCAACATAACCATGAAGATGTCCCCACCTTCCTCCCTCTGCTTGGGGCTGGGGAAGCTTCCGGAGGGAGGGTCAGAGACGGTTTTACAGCTGGAATGATCTAGAGAGAGAAGAGCCCCTCCCAGGGGGGTGGGAGAAAAAAGCGGAAGCCTTACCTGGAGACGAGCGCAGGTGAAGCAGGTAACGAGGAAGGGAGCAGCCAGAGAGGGGAGGACCAAGGGGAGGGGAGGTGGGAGATTCTTTGTTCTGCCCTGGGATTATATCTGTCTGTCTGTCTCTTTTCCTCTCTCCTCCTTCCTAAAGGGATTTAAGGCCACTTATACAAATGCATAGCCGCCCCCCCCCCCCAAATAACAATCCATACAGTGGTAAGAGATATAAAATAAGAATTCAAACAGAAGGAAAATTACTGGTTTGTAGAGAAACAGCACCCAAAACTACTGGATGAAAAGCCCCGTCACGGTTCCTGAAAGTGTGGCAGCAGCCAGGCGGAAATGAGAACCAAAGTGTGCCATGGAATTTGAGCTTCCGCAGCCACATGAAATCGGCACCTTTTCCAGTTTACTGCCCATAATCCCTCTGGAGATCCCTTGTCCGAACTCTGACATTTAGAGAACTTTCTCAGATGGGTCCTGGTGCGACACGTGCCAGTAAGCAAAGAATGCAAGAAGCGCTTTGAGGCAGGCTTCCTCTGGGTAAGCCAAGGGCACGATGCCAAGCCTGGTGGTTGTAAGTGATGGGAGCCTTCTAGGCTGAGTGTGCATAGGAGCCCCTCTCCTATTGCTGGCCCCTGAGCGCTAAGGCGGTGCCCCTGTGCCCCCAGGACACCCTGGAGAAGTGTGGCAGGTGTGCAGAGGTGGTGCGCGAGCACATCATCAGGGCCCTGGGCCAGGCCTTCCACCCCAGCTGCTTCACGTGTGTGTCCTGCGCCCGCTGCATTGGGGATGAGAGCTTTGCCCTGGACAGCCAGAACGAGGTGTACTGCCTGGACGACTTCTACAGGTACGGGAGGGGCCCGCACACCACCGGGAGGGCAGGGGGGCACAGGACAAAGGGCCCAAACCCTAGAGCCCAGGCTTGGGTCAGAATGGGATCTTCCAGTTACACACATACACACGCACCACATTCTCCTAGATGAGAGGCCCGTTTCATCCCCGAAACCCTGGTGCCTGGTCCTTACTATGCAAGTTCCCCTTTCCCACGCTCCCAACTGCTTCGTGTTGGATCTGCTATTCAAACCCCTGTCCATCTTCCCGCTGCGCCTGGCTCTCACCCCCACCCCGCCTCCCCTCTGAGCTGCGAGGCCAGCCGAGGGACACAGATAGCCGTGGGACTGTCCTGCAGACTCCGACCCGTGAGTCCTTGGGTGGCTCCCGGCCTGCCCCAGGGGAGGGACAGCTGGGTCTCCGAGAAAGCAAGCCAGCAGGCAGTGTTGTCCGGGAGGAGGCCCATGAAACGAACCCAGCCCACCGAACACAGGAGAGTTCTCGGCTTTCTCGGTCAGCCGTTCCCAGCTCCGGCCTGGCCGCTGTGAGCTAATTATATCCTGGGAAGCAGCGCGGTGTAATTACACAGCACTCCCCCTCCGCCAAGTTGTGGTCGGTGCACCAGGTGCTGTCACTTAGCAACGGGCTGCAGCAGCTGTCAGGGGAGCAGGAGTCAGCTGCGGCTCTGACAGCCCATGTCCGAGGTCCTCAGCACCAGCGCCTCCCCAGCCTGCCTTCCCTTTCCCTCTAGGAAATTTGCCCCCGTGTGCAGCATCTGTGAGAATCCCATCATCCCCCGAGATGGGAAGGATGCCTTCAAAATTGAGTGCATGGGAAGAAATTTCCATGAAAACTGCTACAGGTGTGAGGTGAGTGAGGGGGGGTCATGACATGCTGTTCCAATGCCCAGTATTCAGCCACTGAGTCTCCCTGGTCCCTGCTGGGCGCTGGACTGGGGACATGTACCCAGGATGGGCTGGGGTCTCTGTGCCCATGTTACTAGCAGAGATGAGTAACTAGGGAGAGAATTGCAAACAGTCTGTGAAAAGGTCCTGGAGTGGCGCAGACGATGCTCGGCTGTTAACCCAAAGGTGAGCAATTCACTGCTAGCCAGCAGTGCCACGGGACAAAGGCCTGGCCGTCGGCTCCCAGAAAGAAATGACTTGATGGCAAGAGGCGCTGTGTGTGTGTGTGTGTGTGTGTGTGTGTGTGTGTGTGTAAGTTAGTTTATTAATCAGAACTTGTTTGCTAACGATAGAAACCAAACCCAAACCCATTTTTACAAGAAAGGCAATCTGTTGGCTCATGGGAAGGCTGGTGGTGCCAGAGCCTCAGACAGCGTTAGGGATCTCACCCAGTCTCTTGGTTCTGCCCCTCTGTGTTCCTAAAGGCTGTCATTCACTGCGAGAAGGGACAGGTGGCACCTGGCCACAGATGGCCCAGGCTTACATCTTCCTAGCCTAGAAACCTCAAGGAGACACTATCTCATTCAGGAAGGCATGCAATCCCAGGAAATGCTCTGATTGGCCCAGCTTAAGTCACATGTCCATTTTAGGCCAATCCCTGTGGCCAGGGTCTAGTGTGCTGCTCGCTGCCTGGAGACTCTGTAGAGGAGTTGTTAAAACCATTGGATGGGGAAGGGGGCTGAGCTGATGCTCAGCACAGGTGCCCTTTCAGGTGGCCATGGACAAAAGCATGTTTGAGGGCAAAGAGACAGTGATGGCATCTATCCTAGAGGAACCAAAGGCATTTTCCTAAAGGAAGTGATGTTTGACTTGGGTTTTGAAAGAGGAGTAGGGGTTTGCCTGATAGGGGAACGGAAGGCAAGATGACGGTGGGGAGCCTGTGAAAAGCCCAGGTGGTTGGAGCAAGCCTGAAAAGTCAGGGGTCTCTGGGCATCGCTAGAACAGTGGAGGCCAGGGCAGCGGGCAGAGGAGTCTAGGCTGGCTGCTGGCTGCAGGCTGCAGGGAGGGAGGAGGTGGAGCTGGGGAGGCTACCTACAAGCTGGTGCCATCGTTCCAGCAAGAAATGCCCAGGGGTGTGACATTGATTGTGGCAACGATTGCACAACTCTTCTTAGTATGGTCAAACTATTGTAGGATATGAGACTTATATGCCAATCATTAAAAAAAAGAAAGAACAACGTGTGAAGCAGTGCACTCTGAAACACATGGGCTTGCTGTGAGTCAGAATAGATTCAACAGCTGTGATATGCCAGAGGCCCTTCGACTCCTCATATTTGATCAGAGGGCCCCACATCTCATCTTGTCCCGGGTCCCCTGAACTATGATGCTGGTCCCGCTGGATAGGTTTCAATATATACACACATCACTGACGTTTCTGCTTTCTCTGATCATGGAGACAAAGGTGGCAACTTTTGTGGGTGTCACCCCAGTGGGAAATTCCAAGCAAACAGAACCATTCTAAACACTCGGTGACGCATATTTAACATTTACTTACTCAGATCCGTAGGGCCCAGAAACTGTCCACTCGGGGCGACAAGGGAAGGTTGGCAGCGAAGTCGACAAAGGGCTTCAGTGCTGTGTTCTTGGTTAGTTATCGTCCAAGGTCTGGCTGGCAATGTGTCTTGAAAGAACAGTAACAGAATCCAAGTACTATTATCCCCACCAGAGCCCTAATAAGGTGCAGGGGTGATTAGCATTTGGGAAGCCTGGCAAGTGAACAAATAAAGCCTCCCAATGAACTTGACCAAGGCTACTAAGAAAGCTACCTAGCAAGTCAGAATTTGAACCTGGCAATTGCATTTCCAAAGGGAAGACCTTTAAAATTTTACATATATATATATATATATATATGTAAAAATTTAAATATATATATTATATATATAATAACTATTTGATACCCAAAGGGAAGACTTTAAAAAATATTTATATATATATATATTTTTTATAACTATTTGATACCCGACTGTCAATTTGCATCCACATTGACTGGAGTTGCAGTGACAGACAGAGGGAACCCGTGTTATTGAGCTGGTTTGTGGGGTCTTCATCCGGATTTCATTTTAACCGTATGTGGATGCAATCCGGGACATATCCGGTTCCTTTGGCCCAGACAGCCTTGAGCCTGCTGTCGATCCACACATCTGGTGTTCCCAACTCCTCCATGGCACATTTCCCACTCTCCTTGAGGGCCCGCGGGCCCATTTCTTGAAGCCCGGGCCATGGGTGCGCTGTGGCCCTGCTCAGCTCCCTCCTCGCGGGAGCCGTGGTGCTGGGACCAGTTTGGGGAGCCCGGGGGAAGGTTCTTGAACTGCAGTGGGCCGGTGTGGATTGGGGTGCTGTTCCTCCAGGAAGTGAAAGAGGTTTCCGGAAACTGTCCACACTGTCTTACCGATCCTGCCCTTCTTGGGGGGCCATCTTCCTGATTCCTACTGCTGGAAGGGCGGTCCTCCTTTTTATACAAGGGGGGAGAGTCTTAATGGGTAAAAGGCCTCCTCGGATGGACGTTGCCTATTTGATGCTCACGGGAGTCTTGGGGATGAGACGATTGTCTCCGTTGAAGGGTGCAAACCGAGGCTCTGAACAGTGCTTCCAGTCGTAGGCATTTCAGCTGGGTCGCTCCAGTTTTCTGCCATCTTCTCCTCTCCCCGTTCCGCCCCCCGCCTTTGCAGACTCGGCTGCAGTTGAGGTGTTTTCTCCACCTTGACTGTGACGTCGGAGAGGCCCCCTTGGAACAGCAGGTTTGGTGTTTGATGCTCACACGATGTCGCATGGATTATTATGGGTAGTGTGAGCAGAGGCTGTTGTTGGGTGCCATCCAGTCGGTTCCCCGTGTACAACAGAACAGAACACTGCCCAGGCCTGCTCCACCCTCACAGCCTGGCCCACGTGTGTGTCCACTGTTGCAGTCACTGTCTCACGCCATCCTAATAATCCGGTGGCCACCCAGAGCCTCCAGGTGAAGTTGCAGGGAAGAGGCACACGAGGGCGCCCTACCCAGCTGGAAGCTGCACATTTAGGGGGGAAGCGGCCACCAGTGACCCCAAAGTTATCTCTTTGGGAATCACGCGCCCCCCCCCCACCCCGCCAGTGGCTTGAGACATGAATGCAGCTTTCATGGAATCTGGTGGCCTTGTGGTTGCAGCAAGATCAGTAGTTCGAAACCACCAACCACTCCTTCGGAGAAAGCCTGTTCCGGGGTCTTCTACTCACATAAACTGTTACAGTCTCGGAAACTCACAGAGGTAGGTCTACCCTGCCCTAAAGGGTCACTGTGAGTTGGCATCAACTCAGTGGCAACGAGAATGAGGGCCCCAGCCGTGCCCTACACTGGCGGGTCTCTGGACATGCGTGGCTCCCTCCCTGCCCACTCTCTGGCATGGGCCCGGCCCAGAACAAAGTGGCGACCTGAAAAACTGGTAGTGTTCTTGTTTGTGCTGGGCTTGGAGCTGTGTGGGCCTCAGCGCCATGGAAAACTCCCTTGGCCCAGAGCCGGGAAGCAGCTGCGTGGCCTGCAGCAGGCCCCGCCCTTCTCTGGACCCCGTTTCCCCACCTGTGAAGTGAAGAGACTGGCTGAGTTCAAGGGTTCACGTGCAGATACTTGCGGGGTGTTTGTGCAGTGCCAGCTGCCGTCTGGGCCGGGGTCTCCAGTAGCCAGTGCTCCTGCTCGGTGGAGCTTGCCTCCTCACAGGGCCTGGGTGGGTTTCACTGTCTTTCCAGCCCCAACTCTTCATGGTCTCTGCCTTTCACTAGAGGACTCCCGTGACCGGGAGGGTCCTCAGGTCTGCCCTGGGCAGGTTCTCATCCAGTTGCTTGACCTTCCGTGTTGCTCACTGTGTTAGGGTTCTCTAGAGAGACAAAACCAGATTGCTAATAATTTATATATAGATTTATACAGATAGATCTATAACACAAGAAGTAAACAGTTAAATTATAAAGCAGTACCAATGGCTCAGTGCAACTCACTCCCGTGAGACAGTTGTGAGACACTGGCCGTCCTTCAAGTCTTGAGGGCCGCCGGGTAGTCCTCTGTAGAGCAATTCAGGCTATCCGGCCACAGGCAGCAAACAGCAAGGCAGGTAGGTCACCAACAGTCAGCCAGATGACAGGGACTGACAGTCCCCAGCTTAAGAGATGTACATTCCAATGGTGTGGCGAAGCAGGTCTTGAAGGAACCTCAACTTACAGCGACACAGTCCACCGGTTAGGTGTCCCACAGGTAGTGTAGCTTGCAAATTGAGGCACAGAACAAGCAGGGCAGCTGCACACTGGTCCGATGATCAAAGAGAGACAAGAAAGGCGAGGCTCACTGAGCCATTTCTCTCTCCGCTCTTCAATTAATCCCACATGTGTTTATCAGCCAGGTTGGCACAGTAAACTAACTACCTCACTCACAGTGAGAGCCCTTGTCTGTTTGTCTGTGCTGTGAAGACCTGGCCAGCTGTGCAGGCAGGCAGGTAGAGCAGAAAGGAGACGCTCATTCTTCCTTAAGGGGTATATTTGTTCACTGGATTTATTTGAGACGCACTAGCCCACTGCTGTCCAGTCGGGTCCACTGTGTGGGCCCGTGTGTTACAGAGCAGAGCTGTGCTCTGTGGCCTCTCCTCCATTGTAATCTTTACAGACCCCCATCACCCAGCCTTTCCTCGGTGACACTGCTGAGTGAGTTCAAACGCCACCTGCAGGTTAATGTCAAATGCAAACCATCACACCATCCAGGGACCTCAGAGAGGTTCCGATGCTGGGCGGCACTGTGGCGGCAGTGCCATGGCGCGAGTGGCAGCATCCACATGCCTTTGTCTCCCACAGGACTGCAGGATCCTCCTGTCCATCGAGCCCACTGACCAAGGCTGCTACCCCTTGAACAACCGCCTCTTCTGCAAGCCATGTCACGTAAAGCGGAGTGCCGCGGGGTGCTGCTGAGAGCACCGCTGGGGGTGGGCAGCCGTGCCCACTCGCCGCCCTGCCATGCCCCCCTCCCTCCCAGGGACCCTTCCCTGATTTGTTTCCTTCCTGCCTCGCTCTTGCTTCCTTTCGTTCTGAGCTGCCACGGGCCAGCCAGCTGTGCTGCCCACTGCGGGGCGGCACAGGCCTCCTCCCAGCATCCCTCAGGCAATGGGACTTGCCATGCCAGAGCATCACACATACTGGTCCCGTTTCCAGAGCACTAACCCTGCAGCCGTCTGGTATGGGGTGCTGAGTGGTCCTTGGGGGGCCCCAAGGGATGAAGTGCTTGACTGCAAGCTGAAAAGTTGGCTGTTTGCACCTGCCCAGAGGCACCTCGAAAGACAATCCCGGCGAGCTTGATTCGGAAAGATCACAACCTCGAGATCCAGATGGTGCCCAGTTCTTCTCGGCACGGCTCTGCGGGGTCACTGGGAGGTGAAGGTTACTCCACAGCAGCTGACCCCACTGACTGTGGGGTGCAGGACTGAGCTGTTTGACAAAAATCCCAAGGTCCCATATAAAGCACTTGGGGGAAAAACAAACTTGAAGTTGAACCTGTGGCTCACAGGATTCCTTGGATTTGTGGCAGCATGGCCCCGCCCTCACATCTGAGACTTGTGTGGGAGTAGGGGTAGCCCGGGGCCAGGAGGGAGCCTGCCCAGCAAGGGCAGGAGGAAAGGGAGATGTCCACACACCGAAGGCTGATGCCAATGCCGGCTCGCTACCTGCAGAGTGCTACAGGGACTCAGACAGGACCTGAGGGCTGCTGGGGACACTGCAGGCTTAGGTGTCCTGTCTGCACCCTGGCAGGGGTCATGCATACTCTCCCCAGACACACACCATGCCAGCATGCCATCCTTTCAGCCTCCAAGTTGTACCCCTAGTCCTAGCGGGACCCTCGAGCCCTGGCTGCCCTTCCACCACTGCCTGAGCCAAGATTCTTCCTTTTTAAAGACACTGCTGTTGTTGAAGACTTCTTATACTTGGCTGTGGGGCCTGAAGAAATGAATCAGAATGGCTTTCCTCCCTGGAGGCGTCCCCCTGAGTGATAAGCGCCTCTGAGGATCCACAGGTGTTTTCAAGGACCCTCTGATTCCAATCCAGGAGGGAGTCTTTATAGACCCCACCCCCCACCGCCAGAGGGGCATCAGGCCAGAGCACAGCTTCTTGCTCTAGACTCAGAGCAAGGAGTCCCAGACTAGCCGTTCACATCTCACCCAATGGTTGTCATAACCAAGGGCCACCTGTCCTTGACTGCTCTAATCTCTTCTTGAATTCAACACCCTTCACTTTTAGCTCACTTCTAACTTTAGCCTCCTACTCAGCAGTACGCCCACCCAGTCACATGTTGATGTGTATTCCCGTTTTTTTTTCCTATTACACAGTCAAATAAAGACTTTTAACGTTTGCCTGAGCTGTCACACGGGAAAAAACATACTGGGGGGTGGGGGAGGGGGGACGCGGGGGAGCCCTTTGGCAGCTTGTGGCACGTGGTTAGGGCGTTCTTGCCAGGAGTGGGGCTCTGCTCTCAGACGGAGCAGCTCATCTTCCTCCTCATGTTCAGCAGTCAGGACTGCGGCCAGCCACACGTGCTGATGTGCACAACACGTGCTGACCCAGCACTCTGTCACCAGCGGTGGGGTCGGCTGCAGGGTGTGCCCTGTGGGGCCTTCTGCCTGGAGCTACCCTTTTGCTGCAGGGGTCCTCTGTGACCACCGGATCCCTTTGCTGGATCCACACCCGCCCACGACACACACAGCTGCGCTTGCTTGCTGGGCGGGCCTCCAGAGAGGGGTTCCGGGCGAGGAGGCCCACTGGACTCGGGCTCAGAGGCTCAGGTCCCAGACCTGGCGGGCACTCAGTAGTGTTGGCAATCTCTGAACCTTGAGTTTCTCATCCATTAAAGGGGAACAATTCCACCCCGATCGGAGTCGCTGTGATGGCCAGAAACACCAAATGCAGAGACACCGGGTTCGGGGAAAACACACACACACACACACACATCTTGTGCTGATCACACCGTTCTGGAGCCTGCTCTCCTTTCATCGGCACGCCCTGTTGGCCATGTAGACGCAACACGCAAGCTGCATCACTGGGGGACCTGGGGGTGGGTGTCTCAGGACATGGGTTTGGGGAGGGGCTTATTGTAGGACTGGGGGGAAGGGAGGGCGTTGCTCTTCACGGAAGCTGTGAGGAGGCAGGGGTCATCCTGTGATTGGGAAGCTTACTCCTTTGACCCAGAATGCAGTGCTACAGCAGTGGTTCAGCCAAGTAAAAGACACCCACCATTTGAATTTTTTCTTAGAGTTCAGTACACAACAAAACCCTCACAAACGCCACCGTCGCCATGTGCGCGATGCAATGACTTGGCTCCCCTGGATCTGTTAGGAAACCCCCACCCGTCTGTTTCCTAATGATTTCATCACCATTAACCATAAACTCCGTGTCCTTTAAGGGAAAACTCCCCTCTTTCCGCACCCCCCCCCACCCTTGGTGCCCACTAATATCTTCACTTAAAAGAAACCTCACTGCCCTCTTGTCAGTGCCGACTCGCAGCTGCCCCTGTGGGTCTGAGACTGCTGCTCTTCCCAGGAGCAGAAAGCCTCGGAGCAGCTGGTGGTTTTGAATAACTGCTACTTCTCTGTTTCACGTAAGCTAGCACGTACAGTGCTTGGCCTTTCACCACCGGCCGGCTCGGTGTGTTGGATACCGTTGGTGTACCCGTGTACCTGCGGATGGATGCTGGGCTGGCCTCCTTCGCAGAGCAACCTGGTCCCATGTGTATGAGCCCTGGAGTGATTGCTAGTCAGCGGGTCACATGGCCTGGCTGCAGAGGCCAGGCCGGCTCCCTGTAGTCGAGGGAGGATTTTCCTCTTAATCAAAGAAAGGTGTTTCCTATCATGGAAATGTAAGCTTGTGTTTACTGCCTTGGGACCCCCCCAGCGTATGGCCCGCTGGTTAGGTTAGAAGAGGTGCCATCTGGATGACCTTCGGCGGAGATGCCTTTGCCCTCTGGGCTGTACATCTACAAACTGTCCGCTAGGGGGCACTTCTGTGCGGACGTCAGCCCTAGGTCTATCCATCCCCCAGAGCTCCCCGCAAACGGAGCCGCTTAAGCACCACTGCTAATCTAGAGCAGGGCATCAAACTCAGTTACAACACGGGCCATCTGCTGCAACAGGCAAGATTCCCGCGGGCCACATCACATTTCCTCCTAGTTTTCACTTAACTCTTAGGTTGTGACCGGAAAATATAACAAAGTAACTGATAAAAAAAAAAACACATAATACTGGACAGCTGACAAATGTGATGCACAATCGTAATGGCTTCCTTCTAAAAGTGTTACTAGCGCTGCCACTAGGTATGATTCATAACAGCACAACCCAGAGTGCTCTTTTTAACCTTTCCACTATTGGGATCTGTTTACATGACGTGACACTGAGAGTGGCAGACATATGGTTTCCAAATGTCGCCAGAACTGAGTCAGTGTGTTTATACATCCACAGGCCCCCAGGAAAGGCACTAGGCCACATGTATACTCATCTTCAGTAGTTAAAGGGTTAATGAGGGGATTGTGTGTACGGTATTGCCTCAATCTCCCCTAAGCGCTATTTTCTTCACAACAATTTTTTCTATTTTCATTTTATTTCAGAACATCACGGGCCACAAAAAATTACCTCGGGGGCTGCATGCAGCCCATGGACTGCAATTTGACATCCCTGGTCTAAAGGGTTATGGTTCTAATGCAGCAAGAGGTCGCACCACTGAAGAAGGTGCGGTGATCTGTTTCCATGAAGATCACAGCCAGGAAAACCCAAGCTCAGTATTCTCCACGGCCTCCTATGCGTGGGAAAGTTAGACATTGACTAGGGGCATAAGCAAATGTAGTGAAGAAAGCTGATGGTGCCCGGCTATCAAAAGATATAGAGTCTGGGGTCCTATAGGCTTGAAGATAAGCAACAAAGCCCACATGGATGAAGCCACCAGCCTGTGAGATCACAAGGCATCGAAGGGATCAGGGATCAGGCACCAAAGACCTAAAAAATCATAGCATTGTGAATGAGGGGGAGTGCAGAGTGGGGACCCAGGGCCCATCTGTGGGCAATTGGACATCCCCTTTGCAGAAAGGTCTCAGGGAGGAGATGAGCCAGTCAGGGTGCAGTGTAGCAATGATGAAACATACAATATTCCTCTAGTTCTTGAATGCTTCCTCCCCCCCACTATCATGATCCCAATTCTACCTTAGAAATCTGGCTGGACCAGAGGATGTACACTAGTACAGATAGGAGCTGGAAACACAGGGAATCCAGGACAGATGAACCCCTCAGGACCAGTGGTGAGTGTGGCGATACTGGGAGATTGGAGTTGGGGGAGGGAAGAGGGGGAACAGATTACAAGGATCTACATGTGGCCTCCTCCCTGGGGGACAGACAGCGGAGAAGTGGGTCAAGGGAGATGTCAGTCGGTGTAAGATATGACAAAATAATAATTTATAAATTATCAGGGGTTCGGGAGGCAGAAAACTGAGGAGCTGATGCCAGGGGCTTAGGTGGAGAGCAAATGTTTTGAGAATGATGAGGGCAATGACTGTACAAATGTGCTTTACTTAATTGATGTATGTATGGATTGTGATAAGAATTGTATGAGCCTCTAATAAAATGCTTTCTGGAAAAAAAAGATTTAAAAAAATTATCAGGGGTTCATGGGGAAGGGGGGAGTGGAGAGGGAGGGGGAAAATGAGGAGCTGATGCCAGGGGCTCAAGTGGAAGGCAAATGTTTTGAGAATGATGAGGGAAGCAATGTGCAAGGACAAGGACTCTTGACACAATGTATGTATGTGTGGATTGTGATGAGAGTTATACGAGCCCCCAATAAGATGATTTAATTATTTTTTTTAAGTACAAAAAGAAGAAGACTGAATGCCTTTGAACTGTGGTGCTGGAGGAGACTATTGAAGTGGTGTGGACTGCCAAAGAACAAACAAGGGTGGAGGGAGTGGGGGGTCAGAGGGGGAACCGATTACTGGGATCTGCATATAACCTCCTCCTTGGGGGACGGACAGCAGAGAAGTGGGTGAAGGGAGACGTCAGACCGTGTAAGATATAGCAAAATAATAACATAAATTATCAGGAGTTCATGGGTGGGGGGAGCAGGGATGGAGGGGGGGCAAATGAGGAGCTGATGCCAGGGGCTTACGTGGAGAGCCAATGTTTTGAGAATGATGAGGGTAACGAATGTGCAAATGTGCTTCACACATTGATGTATGTATGGATTGTGATAAGAGTTGTATGAGCCCCTAATAAAATGATTTTAAAAAAATCATGTTCCTGGGAGGGAAGAAAAAAAAAAGCACAAACAAATCTCTCGGAAGTTCTGCCAGAGTGCTCCTTAGAAGCGAGGACGGTGGGACTCTGTCTCATGGGCTTCGGGCATGTTAGGGGTGGCCGGTCCCTGGAGAAGGACGTCATGTTTGGTGAAGAGGAGCACCAGCAAAAGAGGAAGGGCCTCAATAGGATGGATGGACACAGTGGCAGCACCGAGGGGGGCGCAGGACCATGCGGCGTTCCGTTCCTCTGTGTGTAGGGTCACTACGGTTGGAACGGACTCGATGGCGATGGCACCCAACAAGGACCAGAAAAGGCTGTGGGCCCCTTCTGTTCTGTCGTGAGCACAGGCGAGTCGCTGTGGGTCTGAATTGGTTTGGTGCGCCCAGTTGGATTTTGTTCCCGGGTCTCCCCATCCTTCTTTTCGTCCTTCTCTCCCCTCTTTGGGACCACGGACAAACAGAGGGCTCCCTTCAAGCGCCACGCACTGGCCAAGCACCATGGGCAAAGATGGTTTCCACTGCCTCCGTTGCAGAAGCAACGGAGAAAACTAAGCTCCCTGTCATCAAGCCAACTCTGACTTGTCACAGCCCTATAGGACAGGGTAGAACTGCCCCTGTGGATTTCCAAGACTGTCAATCTTTAGGGGAGTAGAAAACCTCATCTTTCTTTACAGTCTCTGGTTCTGAACTACTGACCTTAGGGTTAGCAGCCTAACATGTAACCCACTGCACCACCAGTAGAGATAAAGCTTAGAAGCCAAACTGGATGCTCAGGGCCAGGGAGAGGGGCTGATGTGTGGTCCTGAATTGGGTAAGCATCCTCCCGGAAGGTCACAGTCTGTTGGCTCTGGGGCACCTGTGTAGCAGGTAGCTGCTCTAACGACAGGTGCTGGGCAGTGTCACTAGAGGGCACTACAGTCCAGAGAGTCAGGAGTCCTGCCCCAGGGCACCAAGGTTCTCACGCCTCTCACTGGAGCCCGCAACTTCTCCAGCTGTGAAGCAGGAATCCTTCCAGCCGACTGCATGTGGTTGCAGAGAGAATTCCAAGAGAAAGCACATTGAAAAACAAGAACTTGGTGTGG